TAAATCCCATGATGTCTAAGGACAATAAATACTGTCTAACGATGGCTGAAGGTGCTAGACATGAAGCCATAAAACCAGCAAAAAAAACAAACAATTCAAAAAAAAAAAAAAAAAAAAAAAAAAAAAAGTTTGAGGTTGTCGGCCGCGGCCGTAATAAGTTGGACGAAAGCGAAATCGGTGGCGCGAAATATTCATGGCCGGCCGGCCTCTGCTCACTGGTCACTCGTAAAAAACTGGAGGAAAATGAAAGTTGTTCTCTTTGAAAATTTTAAATGTGCATTCCATTGTCGCCGGACCAGTTCGGGTGGTTATGATTTCGCGGCCTACACCTCTACCCCTCTCTCCGCCGCGTCATCCTCGTCTTCGGCGCAAGATCAATCGGACGGTGTCGAGGAAGAGAGCGCGCTAAAAATAAATCAGGTTTCTCTGCAAAGGCGGATAGCCGTGTTTTGCATATTGGGAACTTTTACTATGGACGTGAATGTGAGTTGGAGACAAGAGTAGAGACCATCTACTAACCCTCGTGGATAATGCACTGAGAAAAAGCTATGGTTATAATTACCGTATTAGTGGTGTTCAATATACACTCTTAATTAGTGGTGGCCATAACCAATAAAAGTGATATTTTTACCGGAGCAATATCGTACTTCTACAAGTGTGCGATAGTAAAATTAACATTTAATGGTAAAAATATCTCTATTATTGGTTACGGCAACTACTCATTAAGAGTTCATATTGAACACCACTTGTAATAATAACCATAATTTCATGTCAATCACCTGTGTGATATCACCTATGGACTATGGTCTTTAAATAAGCTCGTTTTATTCATAGTTCGGAAATGTAAATAATGGAGATGTTCATTGTTCGTCACACTTCGTTCTAAAGATCAACCGGGCCGATTTGGATGATGTTTGCGGTTATAAACAGGAGATTAATACTAAAATTACCCGCATTTAGATTAATATGAAAGGGCACGAAGCGCCCTCTGAGGGTTTGGCCGCGTAGTAGCTGGGGGGGATTAGCCTCCTCGTTAAGTACCGAGTCTTTCGTCCAAATCAGATACAAAAGGAGGACGCAGAATTGCAGTTTCATTCAGATTATGCATAGTAAAAGTTTTATTAAGTCTCGAACTCTTTCTCCATCTTGCACTAAGTTGGCGATTGCGCGGCGGCGTCTTCTGAGGGTTGGGGGCCAGGACGCGTTCTGCCGACGCCTCCCAACACCCAGCCCCGCGATACGGATCTTGAAATTTCAGTAAAAAAACCGTCTTGTTTGATTATTTTGTCAAGATACGAGTATACGGAGCACTCTGAATGCTGACTCATCGCCAGGCTAATAATCAAGCTTAAAATACCATTTCACTCGATCATTCCTCAAACATTCAAGCAGCAATTAGTACGCACAGCGGATATTTTTTGTACCTATCCTTGATGACTTCATTCGACCCCCCACTGTAGAAGCGCTCAACTGGACTGGAAACGCAGTCTCAATCTGCGATTTTTCCTGCGCAAGGTGGTGTTCCGAAGTGATGTCACTTTTTTCGCGCGGTAATCCGTCGAAAAATCTCAAAACTCCTCGCGATGCTGTGGCGGGGACCTCGAGTCCTCTCTGACGAACGAACTAACCCAAAAAAGGAAGCTAATCGGGAGCCGTAAATCAATCACTGTTTTAAATTCAGCGGCATCATCCTTCCAAGCATCTTTCCGTTGAGGGCGACTCCATATTGCCGAATATTGGATGCTTTGCGTATTTCGAAGCCGTTCTCAAGCTGCACTCTCGGAATGGGCCTGTTGCAAACTTTTGCTAGAGCAAAAATAAGAGTTGTTTCTTATAGATAATGCCTCAAAAATCACGATGAGCGCATCGGCAAAGTCTGAAATGCACTCATAACTTCACAGTCTGCGTAAGAAATTTGCGGTTTTTTGAGCTTCCCGCTTCAAAAACGATACTACGGCACAGGTGAACATTTTGTAAGAGGAGTCGTTCCATCGTCGGCAATAATCATCATGGCCGACGCCAATCCGCCAAAACACGTTTGATGGGACGAGATAACACCTGAACTGGATTAGACCAGATAACAATCGGTGTGTTATCGTTCATATTTTCCACGCCCGAATCGATTGACCTTGAACTCTCCTCGAATTACGCGCGGAACTGCGCGCAAGCGTCGGCCATCATGAATATCGCCGACGACGGAGCGACTCCTCTTACAAAATGTTCACCTGTGCCGTAGTATCGTTTTTGAAGCGGGAAGCTTAAAAAAACGCAAATTTCTTACGCAGATTGTGAAGTTATGAGTGCATTTCAGACTTTGCCGATGCGCTCATCGTGATTTTTGAGGCATTATCTACAAGAAACAACTCTTATTTTTGCTCTAGCAAAAGTTTGCAACAGGCCCATTTTTCATAAAATGGCAAACGCCTTTGCTTGGGTCCTTGCGTGAGAATTCGAAGATGATGATCCGTAACTTTTATTTCCACACCGCCATCTTGCCGATACGTCTGAACATATTCGCTAGTATACAACAAACACCATTCACCATGGTAAAAGTCCACGATGAAAGTACTCAAGAGCGATTGCAGATTTCCTTTGCGATCTGGCAAGAATTTCTCAACATTTTCTATATAATAACTGGATCCTTGGATTTATTAAAAAATTAATTGATCAGGTGAAATTTGAAAATTTTGCGATGCAATTCAGCTTCTTTGGGTTCCGCCCCTTCGATTTGCGAACATTTCAAGGCGGGGGCGGAAAGGAGCAGGCGAGGGTCCTTAATTATTTTTTTTACTACACGCGAAGGTGAAGCAATCTTGCTTTGTCAGAAGGAACCATGGCGGCGGAGAACATGCGTTATACTTTCTCAGGAGTCAAAGAAAGTGACTTTGTGTCACAAAAGTATTAATCACGAGTGCTTCGTCTGCATAGGCGATAATTTCGCCAGCCATTGTTCGGCTAGCCGCGACTCGGATGAATTTGAATGCCTAATAGATCGGCGAGAGGCTACGAAGAAAGTGGAGGCTGCAGCGTCCAAGAAGAAAGAACGAGGAAGGATCCAAGCTCGCGGATGTGAAACTAGATGGCCCTTGTCCACATAACCACGCTGGGTTTAGTCGTTATGTCACCATGGGCGTAGCCTCGGGGCCTAAGGACCCCCCTCGAAAAGTTGTGATCGTAATGTACACTGTCACCCCATACTCGTAGACCCCCAGAGGGGTACATAGGCTCTGGTCCCCCATTCATTTTTTCCAACTTCACTTCTTTGGGTTGCTAAGCACGTAAGAATAAACTTTAGAAAAGAATGACCAAGTTTCTGTTGGAAAATATGGGGTCTGCTTGTTGTAGGATGTCTCTTTTTCATTCTCATACAAAGGGAACTTTTTGCTTTTGAAATTGTAATTTTAGTAAAAGGCAGCAGCTTTATTTGATTTGTTTCTGGTCAAAGAAAGTAGAATTTAAAAAAAAAAAAAATGATGAATTTTTTTAAATCTACATGGAATCTACCGAGCACACCCGCATACCACCTTGCCAAAAATGTTGATTTCGCTTTCAGCTCAATTCTATCAATTCGCTCAATTTCTATTCGATGACTCGTAGGTGCATCTTACCATGAAGGTCATCGAAGCCCAGTTGGCTGCCTCACATTAACCCTCTATGTTCAACTCATATCGATGGTCAAAGCACGAAACCACGGTTCTCCATTGCGGTGTTTCAAAATGTCCACTCCTATTTTATTTTTTCGGGGAGAAAAAAGCCAACTTGATGGCTAAAATTTATGAGAGATATTCGGTTAACAGAGAGCAAAATTCAATGAGGTATGAAGAAAAATAGGATAACAACTTTTTCAAAGGAAAAATAAAGTGTGTCGGGAAGTCTACAATGATGTAAATGGAGATATACGTAGTTTCGCACTTTGACCGTCGATATGACGATCGTGACTTTTCTCAGGAAAACAGACCGTAGTCTCAGAGAATTTCGATTAAAATCTCAAAGATTAACGAAACCCATCGGGTTTTCCAGGAGGCCATTTCAAGAAAAGTGCTATGAAAAACGCGTGCGTCTCAGCGTGCGTCCCGGAAAGTGGATCGGAACAATCCCCTTCAAGTGGAAGAGCGGCAATAAGCCATACCGTGTTGTACGAATAATTATCTTCTGGATCGTGTTCTTTCCGTCCACTAACCCTGGCGAATAAGATTCATGTTAGCCGCTCCTTGAAAAGACCCTTCAGCGCTTTCAAAGACGATTCAACAGTTGATCCATCGACTAATTATTTCTGAATGTTAAAATTTGTTTTCCAAAATCTCCGAAATTCAAGTCACGCTTTATAGTACAACACGTATGCGTGCACAAGATTTGATTTTTTTTTTTTTTGAAAACTTCTGAAAATTCAGAAGTATTGATCAAATCGTTCATGTAAGTGTTATGAAAACACTTCGAGAGAAAACGTGAGGCTTTTCGAATAATACCCATGGAATGAGTTAAATTTTGGTACAAAGAACTACTAATTTTGGCTCATCCACAAAAGCACCTGTGTATAAACGGAACTAATGACACATTCCTACATTCAGTATGTGTGAAATGAAGGAATCATCGCAGTTTCCTATTGTAAAACGTAGTCAAAATATTCAAAGTACTCCCAACTCTTCCTTATTTGAAGCTTCAAATCTCAGATATGAGGTTCATATTTTGGAAGGGTCTTGTGGTTTTGAAACATTCTGTCGGAGTTTATTTTTTCCGTCGGTTCCTCAGTAGGTATTTTCAGAAAATGGCCACACTAAATCATGCAATGTTGAAGCAAAAGGGCGGAGGGGGTTGCAGAGATCTCCGCCGATCTCACCAGTTTGCCAAAAGCATCTCTTTGCTCGCCTAGTTGCAGAGAATCAGTTTTCGTTGCCATTTTTAAGATTTTATCTCATTAATATGATAGGAAAAGAGTAAGCACGGAACCTGCAAGAATGTTGCAGCGAGCATCAACACAGCGCCAATTCAATAAATCTTACCTGCGAATAAAAAGATGGAATGTAATCCTTTCGGCGCACCAAACAAACTGACGAAGTTAGTTGAAAACGTCTAGACACTCATCAGACCCAAAACACTTATCAACGGCAGTAAAACAAAATTGTAAATAATTGTACAAAAAGCTAGCACCAAAAAATCCACCGCAAAAAAACAAGAAACCAAAAGAACTCGGCAATCGATTCGATAATCTTTCGTGAAGGATTCTCAATCACGTTTGAAAGCACAGCGTGAGGAGTTTCATCGACACTCACGAAAAAAACACTTGCATTGGCGGACGAATTCGGCTCATGCGTTGAAATAGGAAAACAGAGGAAAAGTCGAGGGAAAACACTGTGGAAAATTGGAGGAGTAACGTGAGTAGGGATTTGAAAAAAGCCACTTGACGCGAATTGAGTGACGCACGCGGCGCGGTTGACTGGCACGACGTTAGTTGTAAACTGATTCACGCAAGGCAGGTCGGCATGGGAAGAACGCAGACTCAGCCTAGTCGCCCCCCCGCACCACCCTCCCCTGGCGTCTGCCGCGTCCCCGCCATTACTTCCTCCGGCAACTACGACGGGGGGCAAGGGGGGTGGCCCCGCTGCTGGAAGTGGCGGAATTTCTTGCATACCGGGCACTGGGCAAAAGCCCCATGCATGCTATAGTTGCATTTGCATTCTAGGCTCGCGTTGCATAGGGTGCCATGCCCCTCCGAACGCCCATATAGGCAACATCCTTGCAGACACATATTCTGCTTAGTGCTTAGAGTGTCTTGCGTCGTAGGGTTAAATTAAAAAAGGAAATCGCAGGAGCGTATTTTATTGGCTCAAATAAGACTTTTTTTCTTATCAGATCAAGTTTTTTCAAAAGTCCTCCTGTAGGAGCTAACGCGACCTCCTCAAATTTTTGGGAAAATGCTTTGTTGTCGCCCATTCCAACAAACTGATTGCGGTAGACCAACGAGTCCTTCCAGATAGAAAGTTGGTGATGTAGCAAACATGCGTTGCATTTCAGCATAAGGTTGAAAATATCAATATAGGGTGAAAAAGCACATTGAAGCACCATATTCCCTCAAAGAGATAGTGCTCGAACTAGAGAGTGCTCCAATGTGCTTTTCTCCGCTGTATTGAGATTTCCAGCTTTATTCTAAAATGTAGCGCACGTTGGCTACACTACCAACTTTCTGATTCTCACAACGGTTAAGGACCGAAGCGCATGTAACGGCTAGTCTCCATAAATTTTACTCAGGCATCAAGGCTTCAAAATATTCAAATCTTGGGTGAGAGGGGAATTTCAGAGGGTACAAGAGAGGAGGGAACCAAATTGTTAACTCTTCAAGATAAAACACCCCCTGAAATATCTCTTTCACCTAAGATTTCAATTTTTTAATGCCATGCATGGTTGGCTATTTTTCATGGCTTTTGATATAGTATATCGATGCCAATATCAGAAAACAATGATTTTCGCAAAAATCCGAAGCGGCTGTAGTCATAATTGGGAGAATTTTTGAAAACAACCGTTATCTAAGAAAATATAATAACGGAAACCTACCAGCGACCTTATATTTCGTTTATTTCGTTCATCATTTTCTCCCTTACACTGGAAAAAAAACACACTGGATCTAGAATCCAAACTCTTGAAAACATTGACAAGAAAATGGACTCTTGATTCAATCAGATTTAACCTTAAATCAAAAGGAAATCCGCTCAAATTAAGAGGCTTGGTTCATGATTTAAGCAAAACTCCGATTCTTTGTCGGAATGAAATTCTTGTCGATGTTTTTAAGAGTCTGGACTCTCGATCCAATGTGTGTGTTTTTTTTTCCCCAGTTTACTCCAATATAACCACCCGTTTCTATTTCTACCAATACGATAACTTCATTTTCCCGTTGTCTCTTTCGGTTATACCTTTCTCTATCAATTTCAATGAACCAGCCTATTGATTCAAAGGATACCGAACTCCAAATCGCTGGTAAAAATTGGCGGTAGAATCTGTGTTCCAAAATACCATAGACCTACAGCCGGCTGTAAGAATTCCAATAGCTTCTATAGCCGGCAACACAATTTCTCATAGCCTTTTATAGCCGATGGCGACTAAGCAACAGCCTGGCGATAAAGTGTATGCTAAACGTTACTAATTACGGATGCTAGGACTTAGTGAGTTTTTGGAATACTGCTCTCTTTTTGGGCCGTAGTATCTTGATTTATTTTGCGAGGAAAGCTCCGTTCTTTTGAAGGATGCCTCCCATTCCTAATATGTTGGAGCGTCTCAAGAAAGGTCTCATGAAAGGTCTCAATTTTTAAGAGGTTCGGAAGCGAAAAGTTCACCGTAAATATTTAAAGATTTATCCATAAGCGGCATACCTGCTTTAAAATTACAACTGAAATCTTGAGTTGGGAGGAATCAAGATGTACTCTCAGTCAAAACCATAGACGTACCTATAACACACAAAACAGAACATTGTAAGTAATCTGTGATGAAACAATGAGTTGGGTTGGGGAATTAAGGGGACGAGCAGAAAGACTTCCACCTTACCGAGCCTTGTAAGTGTTCACTTACACCTTCCTTTCCGCTTACTATCTGCGTAAGGAGTTTCGTAAACAAAATTCCAGGAATAAGCACGAATAAAATCAGATGCAGCATTCAGATTGAAATCTTTTCGCCCTGGTAAAAATTGGCAGTAGAATCTGTGTTCCAAAATACCATAGACCTACAGCCGACTGTAAGATTTACAATAGCTTCTATAGCCGGCTACACAATTTCTTATAGCCTTTTATAGCCGATGGCGATTAAGCAACAGCCAGGCGTTAAAGTGTATGCTAAACGTTACTAATTACAGATGCTAGAACTTAGTGAGTTTTTGGAATACTGCTCTCATTTTGGGCCGTAGTATCTTGATTTATTTTGCGAGGGAAGCTCCGTACTTTAGATGGATGCCTGCCATTACTAATATATTAGAGCGCCTTCAGTTTTGTATGATGCTGTGCAATACCTCTGGTGTGAAATAGTTGCTTCAAGCGCCGTGGCACGCTGTGGCGCGGCGCGGCGGGCGGGCAGCCAGCGCGAAACGCGCATTGGCGCCTACAAACCTAACGGGGATACTTCACGCATTGCGCAATGCGTGAAGTATCCCTGTTAGGTTTGTAGGCGCCAGTGCGCCGCCGCTCCGCTTTGTGTTAGGCTCTTTATCGATACATACGGATATCGATACATGTGATAATCCATGTGTATCGTAGTTTGATGCGTAAACCAACATGTTAGGGAGAATGCTCCTTTTAAGGAATTAATTTAATGAATTACATTTTGAATTAAATTCAAACCCCTCTTTCTTTAATTTTACTCATCGTTTTTCGGCTATTTCTCTTCGTTAAACATTAACCAGTGTGCAGCAGCGTTTTTCAAATTATGACTTTGAAATGTTTGCACACTCTGTATGAATTATTCTCATTTTAATTGATGAAAAAAAAATATGTAGTAAAGGAAAATATAATGTGCGTTTTGTAAACATTAAGGTGATTCCGTACAAACTTAAGGATTTACAAAGCACACGAATTTCTACACAATTTCTTACAGCCTCTTACAGCCGATGGCGAAAAAGCAGCAGCCAGGTGATAAAGTGTAAAGCCCGGTGATAGGAACTATAGCCCGGCTGTATAATTTTTTATCGCTTCGTGTAGCCCGGCCGTATGATTTTTTCCACTTTCTACAGCCAGCTATATGAATTTCTATCGCTTTCTTCAGTCGGCTATAAGAACTCCTATGGTATTTTGAAACGCAGCTCCTATCGCCAATTTTTACCAGGGTTCTGATGCTGTAGCTTCGTTTCCCGATTTGAGTCTCTTATTCTGTATGATTGATGATAACTGCATGAATGAAATTAAAATAAATAAACACTCGAAAATTTCCGCGCAGAAGTATTGCCTCCCTTACGTTTTTTGCTGTACACAAGAGTACTGGTATGCGGTTCCGAAGTAGTTCCGTTCTGCTGCATTTCCTGGAAAACCCCGTTTTTCTATAATAGATTGACACTGCAGATGAAATTTGAGAATTTCTTGAGAATCGGTGAATTATGCGCCAAGTTACAGCCGCAACTACCATGCTAAGGAAAAATACCGCGTGAGCCTTCAGATATTACCAACAGGGTTGCCACAGTCAGGGAAAATCAGGAAATGTCAGGGAATTTTAAACAGCCAGGGAAAACCGGGAAATATCAGGGAAAATGACGAGAATACGTCAGGGAAAAGTTGTTAAATTACCTTCATTTGCTTTCTAGAATGGGTTCGAGGTTTCGAACAACAAATGCCTAAAAACTATTTTAAATTATGCCCTCTTAGCCATCCGTCACATCTTCAATTGTCAGGGAATTTCACCAAAATGTGTCAGGGAAATCAGGGAAATGTCAGGGAATTTAATTTTTTATATTCTGTGACAACCCTGTACCAAGTTTTCGTTGGACAAATCGCCAATTTTCGGGAAAATTGGTACACATATTTTTCCTTCGGTTTTTAGATGATTTTGCTCGTAATTTGATCGAAAGCCTCTGAAAATGTCAAGGAAAAATATCCGTAACTTTTTTCCCGAGTAATTTCTTTCCGAGAGAAAATTTGGCAACATTCGGATGCTCATACGGGGTTTTTCTTTAGCACAACTTAAACAGTGCAGTCGCAGCTGGCGGCGCGGCATGGCGTGCGTTGAGCCGGCATGAGGCTCACAATCAACCGGTTTTGAGTAAGTACTATCGTTTAATATGCTGCGAGAACCGCACCGCGTCTCAGAATCTATAAACATTAGGTAAATGATGAGCTTCTTGGCGCATGCAGCAGTTTAGACGCGCCATCCCCTCTCCCCTCTCCCCCTCCCCCAGCCCCGGGCCTCCCGCGCAACTTTAATCATCTGCACCTGCGCCCTTGTGACCAACATGCAGAAATTTTATAGAGCCTTCGCCGAAGCTAGAATGCACGTTATGCTAAAAGAAATTATGTGAGAATAAATTGAATTCAAAGAAACTAGACATTTCAGAAAGGAAAGATCAGAACATACTCTAATTTTCAGTAATATATTCACCAGACTTTATTGTGCTATAGTTATTGCACCTCAGAGATCATGTACATGTATGAAGGCTTCCGATAATACAGATTTCCTGTCGCATATTCGTCGCTCCTCTGACGTAAGGGCGTATCTCGATTCTGACATGAGCCCTGGAAAACATGGTGTTATATGGACAACAGGGTTCAAGTGAAAATCGAGATACGCCCTTACGTCAGAGGGGCGACGTTTTGACGAAATACGAATGCTGCCGTGTGAACCTTCGAGAGTCGCCAAATTTCTCCAAATAAAACGTGTATTTCTGAGGAAAGTTATGCATATTTTTTTTCAGATATTTTAGATTTTATCGTGAACAAAATTGACCAAAAAATTTGAGAAAGAATATTTACAATTTTCCCAGGAAATTCGGTTTTTC